TGAGAGACATTTATCTAACCTACTCTTAACTATCTCCAGAGATGGGGATTCCACAACCTCCCTGGGCAATTTATTCCAGTGTTTAACCACCCTGACAGTGAGGAACTTTTTCCTAATGTCCAACCTAAACCTCCCTTGCTGAAGTTTAAGCCCATTGCTTCTTGTTCTGTCCTCAGAGGCTCTCCCTCCTCCTTGTGACACCCTTTTAGATACCTGAAAACTGCTCTCATGTCCCCCCTCAATCTTCTCTTTTCTAAACTAAACAAGCCCAGGGCTTTCAGTCTTCCTTCACAGGTCATGTTCTCTAATGTCACAAATCTCTGGGGGAATCTTTTCCCCCCGTTTTATCTCCCTCCCATTCATGCAGCTGTGGAGACAAAATGTCCCAGCAGCACCGAGACCGAGCCGAGCTGGGTCAGACCAATGGTCCAGCTTTTCCTGTCTCCAGCAGTGGTCTGACCCACAACGTCGAGGTGTGTGTGTGAACAGAATAGAGCAGTTAAGCAGTGATCCATCCTCTGTCCTCCCCTCCCGTCTTCTGGAACACCAGCAGCATGGGGATGTGACACTGACCCTCTTTGTTCCGCGTTGGGGACCACCGCCTTAGAATGAAATAAACCAGACCCCTGATTCTGCTCTCTCGCTCCCCCTGGGCATTTGGGACCAGGGAGCATGTGCCGATGAGCCCCTCCCCCACGGCACCTCCTAACCTCTGTCCCACATGGTCCCGGCCGTGAAGCCACCTGTGTGGGGACCCGAGTGAGACCAGCCTGGCTAAGCCGGGCCTAATCTCAGTCCCTGGCCGTGTTTGCGGTGGGGCGGGGTGGAGGGCCTGTGCTGGGCCAGCTCCATCCTCCGGGGCGGGTCTCCAGGCCAACACGGCCAGTAGCGGCCTTGTGGGTGTCCCCCACTGTGCTGGTGCTGGAACGGGGGGAGACGGGACACAGAATCCCTGCGCCGTGCCCTGAGGAATCCTGCCCCCGCCCGCCATACTGCTCCACAGTGCGCTCACGGCGAAGGGACAGGGCAGGCTGGGAGCAGAACACGCTCTGGCACCCTCCTTCTGGATCCGGTGGGGGATTCCCCTTGTGCCCCCTCCCTCTGGGGCAGCTGGCATTGGCCACTGTTGGTGGACTGGGCTGGATGGACCTTTGGTCTGACCCAGGGTGGCCGCTCTTCTGTTCCCCCTTCTCTTTGGTGCAGTCTCACAGTTGATTTGACTGGTGCATCGGTGCAGGTTTTGTGACCCATCGGTGCCAATTTCTGTGGGCAGCTCCCTCCCGTGGGGACTTTACCTTTGCTCTTTCTTGCTTTGCTCTTCCAATTCAAATTAGCACAAGACTCACTCGCTCCAGCTGCCTTTTTTTGGAAGGAAGCAGCATTCCTGGAGCCAGGGCAGTCCCAGAATAAGTGAGACAACTTGGATGAAGAATTATGTCAAGCTCATGAAGTGAAAGTCCATCGTTACCATACAACAGCAATTCAGAAGAAAGTCCTGAGGCATTTCCTTGACTCTTTCAGCTCAGCCGGGAGGCTTCAGATGCAGAATCAAAAAAAAAACATCTTGATCACCCGCTTCAGGATCTCTTTTGTCATCATCCCATAAATAACGGGGTTTAACATGGGGAGAAGGAGCACAGAGATGTTGGCCAGGAGGTTGATAGTATTACCATGACTGATTTGTTCAAATTGGTATTCGTAGAAGGAGACAAAAGTTGGCACATAGTACAACAGTATGACACAGATGTGGGAGCCACAGGTGCGCAGAGCCTTGAGACGGGCACCCTGGTACCGGCGCTGGAAGACGGCCCTGAGGATCAGCACATAGGACACAGCAATGAGGACAGCGTCCAAGCCGATTACTGAAATAGCCTTGGCTAAGTCGTACCAGATGTTGATTGTGATGTTGTCGCAGGCCAGCCGGGTTATTATCATGTACTCGCAATAGATGTGAGGCAGGAGGTAATTTCCGCAGATCTTCATTCGCGTCATGAGAAAGAAAATGGGGAAAGCGAAACAGAAACTCCTTGTGAGAACCGCCAGCCCGATCTTCCCGATCACAGGCTTGGAGAGCAGGGTGGTGTATCTCAGGGGGTTGCAGATGGCAACGTACCGATCAAACGCCATGGCCACCAGGATGCCCGACTCGGCGATAAAACTCAAATGGACGAAGAATATCTGGGTGAGGCAGGCAGCAAAAGAAATTTCCCCTGCACCAAAGCAGAACAAGGCCAGCATCTTGGGCACTGTGGTGGTGGACAACAGCAGATCAGCAGCAGCCAGCATGGAGAGGAAAAGGTACATGGGCTCATGCAGGCTTCGCTCTGTCGCTATGATGTAGAGAAGCAGAGAGTTCCCCAGAAGTGCCGCAACGTACATCAGACAGAAGGCGACGGCGAGCCAGACCTGAGACTCCTCCGTACTCGGGAACCCGGTCAGGATGAAGGTGACGGGGGTAAAAACGCTGTGATTGTCGGCTGGCATCATGCACCGTCCCCTGCAGCTTCTATTCCATTTCCAGCAGCTAACACGGAAGAGAAAATCAGTGGGAATTGGAGGGGCACTGGGACCGGAATGTGTTTGGGGACCGACTCAGAGACACCAGCAAAAACGTCTTTGTGCTGCCTGTCGGGTGTGAACAGGAAACCTACACACACTCCCCTGCTGCGGATCATCCCCATGCCCCAGGGGAAGACACTTGGGATATTTATGGCCCCCGGGGTGAGCAGGGAGCCCATCCATGGTTCCTCTCTACAGCACAATCTCTCCTCTGCCGGTTGCCTGCAGCCCTGCTCCGGGCTCAGAGGGTGACTCGGGAAGTGAGCGAAAGCAGCCACGGGACTGGTTCTTCATCCAGCTCCTCCGGTGTTAAGCTCCGCACCGCAGAGACACTCCCCGTTCAGAACGGTGTCCGAGCAAATCCGTTTTCATCGACACTCGTCCTCCTGCCCCCCAGCTATGCACATGTATATAGAATCATAGGACTAGAAGGGACCTGGAGAGGGCATCTAATCCAGTCCCCTGCACTCATGGCAGGACTAAGTGTTATCTAGACCAGTGGTCCCCAACGCGGTGCCTGCGGGCACCATGGCGTCCGCTGGGGCATTTATGTGCGCCCACGGCATGATCTAGGCTGGCCCCGCCCCCAGCGCACGGCACATGCGTGGTGCCGGCTCCGGACGCGCGGCGCGTGAGTGGCCCCACCCCCGGGTGCCCAGCAGCCCCAAAAGGTTGGGGACCACTGATCTAGACCATCCCTGACAGGTGTTTGTCTAACATACATTCTCCTATATGGATTGATTTCCATATGTGCATTCAGATGTAAGCTGCTAGTAGCAATTTGGATTGAGAAGCTGATTGGGCAGAGGGGGCAGGAGGGAGCCAGAGAAATGCAGGGTTGACCGCAGTCTAGCAAACTTGTCCGCACTTTGTGGCTGGGCCCCTGGGGCTGTTTGAATTAAAGGCACAGGTCAGCTGGCACCTCTCCTCCTGTCTGAGTGCTAAAAACAAACTCTGATCATTTGGCTTTACTGTGGCTGGGTTGCTTTCTGCACCCAGCCCCCCCTGCCATACTCACTTTGATTTGGCAGATTGGAATACAGGTGTAAAGGAATACAGGTGCAAGGAAAACATGAGCAGGACTGGATCTTCTTCCTCCAGCTCCCGGAGATTCATAGGAACCTGGAGCTCCTGGTCACTATCCCCGCTACTGTAGCGGCCAGAGCTCCTGGCCCCTTTGAACTGATGTGGAAGCGTGGCAGCACTGCTCTGCATGGTTCTGAGAGCTGGCCGTGGAGTGCACCGGGGTCTGGGTGATGCTAAGGGCTGACTGTCCTTGGGCCCACCCATTCTGCCATTGGCCCCACCCCTTTCTGGGTACATGGAGCCCTCCCACCTTGCCCCTGAGCCCGCCTTGGCTGTCGGCTCCCGTGGTAGAACATAGTTTCCTATCATAGTATTACCTAGCGCTAATGTGGCACTTTTCATGAGTAATCCCAACGTGGTATCCAAAGGAGGGCATTTTACAGGTGGGGAAACTGAGTCACTGCAAGGTGAAATGCTTTGCCCGTAATCATCCAGAAACCCAGGAGCTCAGTGACGGATCACAATCATTTTTTCTTGCTGCAATCTAGCATAGGGGCCAAAAGCATTCAGAACACAGGCACAGAAAATTAGGCACCTAAGGAGTGTCGGCCAGATTTTCCCATGGATAGATGCTCCATATAGCTCACACTGAAGTCACAGGGTACTACAGGTACTCATCACCTCTGAAAACATTGGCCAGGGGCAATGCAGAATACTTTGCAATGCAACCTTCATGTTAGCTAATATTACTGCTCAATCTGCTCCTTCTATAACAGACGTCAAACCAACTCCCTTCCCAGAGGGGCTTCTTAACTTGGGTGTGGTGTGATTGAGGAAGGATCATGTTTTCAAGTGACAATAAAAATGCTAGGGCTTCTGGGTAACTTGGCACAGCAATACTGGGGGAAAGGGGTCAATTTTGGAGGAGCACGCCCAATAACACAAGTGACAGGAGAGGGAGGGATTGTGCACAGCAGAGCATAGGATTTTTAGGGAATAATTGATTTATGAAGCAGGAAAGGAAGCAAGTCTCCTTGGTGAAAGTACAATCATTCGTTCAATAGAGAACACAAGGGGAAAAGTAAACATTTAACTCTTGCATTAATGTGGGAGTGAATGGCTACTGATCCCTCTTCCACCCTGTCTGCCAAAGAAGAGATTCTGCACAGCATTGCATTTCAATGTGGTAATAGAGCAACCCAGCCTCCTCATATGTTTCAGTGACATTAAGGCAAGAGGCCACAGATGGGCCAAACGCCAGGAAATTCACCTTTCAGTCCATGAATAAATCACATTAGGGAACTAACACTTACCACAACCTAGTCCAGAAGCGTTATCACCCCTAACTAGACATTTCCTGGCTTCCATGCCTTTGGGTCATTATCTAGAAGTAGTGTCTGGTACTGAATATCCTTGTTTGTTGTTTTTAAAAGTACTAAATCTTTCTTGAAAGGTTGTATTGGCTTCTGGTGAGATTCAAATCCCTGGCTATCATACAATTATGTAATTGGAAATGTGTCCTATCATAGGAAAATAGTTGGCAGCAAAGTGAGCAAGGAAAACATCAGGCAGACACTTACACAGCAGATAACTTTGAAAATTCTCAGGGTTTTCGAGGTTTTTTTGTTTGTTTTCTTTTTGGTGGGAAAGGAATGCTGACAGTGGAGGAAAGGACTGAAGACTGGGAGGTGGAAATAGCAGAAGCAAAACCACAAGGCCATATTGGACTATTCACCTGCCACACTAAGCGGGAATTTCAAGAGGGTTTGGTGCTGCACTGACTGCCATTGGAGCAGAGTTAGGCCAGTGACATGTGTTTCTGAGGCCATGTCTTCACTAAACAGAAGATTGATGGTGTCAGAATTTGATTTAGCAAGTCTACTTAAGACTTGCTAAATTAAACTCAGAGGGCTCGTCTACATTAACCCCTTTTCCGGAAGGGGCATGCTAATTTTTCAGATCGTAATAGGGAAATCCGCGGGGGATTTAAATATCCCCCGCGGCATTTAAATAAAAATGTCCGCCGCTTTTTTCCGGCTTTTAGAAAAGCCGGAAAAGAGC